GGTTGCGCGGAGACCGCAGCTGTTCCCTGTCAGTGGAGGCAGCGACCGTAGAGGCGGTGGCGACGACTTGCGGCGGCGGCCAGGAGGTGAGTGCCGGCGGCGGCGGCGCTCCGCACCTTCCGCTTTCCACGGCGGCTTGCAGTGGGTGGGCGTGCGCCGGCGCGGCCGCCGGGGACGCTTATGTAAGGGTCGCGCGCGCCGAGGCGACGCGGGCTCCACGAGTGACGGCCTGAGGAGACGGCGGCGGGCGCTGCGCTGCGCGACGCGACGCGACGTGCGCCGCCCCTCCCGCCCTCCCCCTCCCGCGGCGGCGGCGGCGGCGGCGGCGGCGGCGATGCGGACCCGCCCCCCGGCTCCTTCCCGGGGGACCCCGAGCATCCCTCCCGCGCCCGCCTCCCGCTCCTCGCGCCGCCCGCCGCCGCGCGCGCGCGGCCTTCGGCTCGCTCTCGGGCCCATTTTGCAGATGGAGAAACTAAGCCCCTGAAGTCCTGGCCCCTGAGGGTTCGAGTCCGAGTCGGGGGCTCCTCCAGACTCGGCCGCTCCCCGGCACCGCGAGCCTCCCGGTAGCTCCGCGGGGTGCCCCGGCGGCGCGCTCAGGAGCTGGGGCTGCCTCGGGCCCGTTACCTGAGCGGTTAGTTTACGGGGTGCGCGGGCCTGGCACCCAGAAACCGGCTCGGGACCTGCCGCGCTGCTCCTTCCAGGTGCCGCTCGCTTGGTGTGCCCCGAGTGAGTTGTTCCCCCCCTGGCGAGCTCTTTTCCTCAGCTGCTTCTGCTGGGCTGGTGCTAGACCCCCCGCCCCCCCCCCACCCCCACCCCCCGTCTCGGGCGGGCGAGTGTGGGGGGGGGCTCTGCTCGGGGCTTGCTCCTGATGGAACCCGGGGCTCCCGGCTCTTTCTCCCGGAGCCTGTTGAGCTCCTTCCTGTCCCGGTTTGAAGTTCTTGAGAAGTTGTGCTGGTCTGTTCGTTTTGGGGGAGTAAGGCTCATTATCCTCATTCTGTTTGTTTATGTTGTGGGGGGGGGCACACCCAGCGGGTGCTTAGCACTTACCCCTGACTGTGCACTCAGGGATCACTCAGGGGACCCTCTGCGGGGTCAGGGATGGAACCCCAGTCCGCCCCTGTGCCAGGCAGGTGCCTTCCCTGCTGCCATATCCCTTGGACCCTTCATTGTTCTCATCCTGCAGCTGGGAAGACAGACCCAGAGGGTGGTTGATGGTAACCAGATCACAGCCCGAGCCCTGGATTTTCTTGATCAGGTGCCTCACCAGCCTCCTGGTTTCCCCTGTCACCCTTTTGCCTGTATGTGCTGCAAAGGCTTGGCAGGGAGCGGACACGCTTCACCCTTCTCTTATCTTAACTCTCCAACTCTTCCTGGTCTGTTTCTACACACCTGCCTGGGGCAGAGCCCTAGCTGGGAACCAGCGGGTGATCCGTGCCCCATAGCTGACACCACTGTTTGGGGGAGCAGGGAATACACAGTTGCTGCAGCAAGTAAGATGTTTGTACAAGTGTGAGCCTTGAGGTGAGGTGTGGCCTGAGGAGGAGGAGGAGGAGGAGGATGAGGAAAGAGGAAGTTCAGTGAGGCCCATAAATCTGGGCAAAATTCCCACAAAGCCAGGCTGGGCTGGGGCTAGAACACGGAAGGCTTGGTGGGTGGGTCCATCCAGTGCCTCTCAGGACCCCCAGGGCCCTGCAGGGCCTAGAAGTGCAGTGATTGGCTTGCAGAAGCTGAGGTTTGATTTGGGAGGTGAGTTTGCCCCAGGAACCTGTAAGAGGAGGGTGGGAGGGGGAGGTGGCAGCAATGGTCTGTCCCAGCTGAGCAGAGAAGGCTGACTGGCCCCAGTGAGGGGCTCCCCCAGGAACAGGAGCAGGGTGGGGACATCGGCTGAGATGCAGCGAAGTCAGACGTGGGATCTGATGGCTCAGGGGGGCTGCAGTAGGCTGAACGACCGGCATGTCCAGTCCTCTGCGGGCTCGGCACACTGCAGTTGCCCAATCTGCGGTGAGTCGCCTTGGGCTGCCAGCCAGAGCTCCCACAAAGCACTCCAGATCCCCCTCTGTACCTTCTCTCCGGCCTCCCTCAGACCTCTGTGGGCCAGGTCTCCCCGAAGGCCCCCTTTAGGACACTGTGCCCTTGGTGAATCCCTGCCACCTGCCTCCGAGGTGTCAACACCGGTGGCCTTTCCTTTCTCATGTTCCTGCTTCCTTGCCCCACTCCCAGCCCCAGCGGCCTGGGTGCCTGTCCGAGCACAACTCCAGGAGGCCCAGGTCAGTCCTAGGTTAGTTCTTGGTGGCCCCTTTCCTGTCCCAGAAGGAGTAGCTGCTTGGGAATTTTTGGGACAAATCAGTAGAAATCAGTGAGGAGGGAAGGGGGAAGGTGGCGGACTGGGACAGTCATTACATCCCACCTGTGGGTGATGGTCAGATGGGGGGGCCACCTGGGTAGACCTGGACTGTCCAGCTCTGGCCTCACTCTGAGTCTGGAAACCAGCTCAGTTGGGCAGAATAAGAGGAAAGGGTCTGCCCAGAACAGGATCAGGACGGGAGGCAAGAGTTGCGGGCTGCAGAGAAAAGCCTGGTCTGGGGATCGGGGCAGAAGAGAGTGCCGTGGAGCCTGATGGAAGAAAAAACCCAATGGGGCAAGACCTTCTGTCTTTTATCCAGCACGTGAAAGCAGTGGCTGCCCCTTCGCCTTTGTTCTCCCCAGACACATGCGGGTCCTTCAGTTATGTGCGGCCAAGCGCCCACAGCCGAGCCTCGGGAGGCAAGTGAGGGGTGGACAGTTGGGCCCAGGGGTGTGGCCCAGAGCTTCAATTCCACACAGCAAGTCTTGGGATGGAAACAAGCCCCAAATAGACAGTTCTCAGGGCATGAGGCAGGAGAGGGGAGCCCGTGGGAGGCCCACACTCACCTCTAAGAAAACATCCAGGCTGGGAGAGTCCTCCAAAACTGCCCAGGGAGGACCCAGAAACGGTAACTTCAAGTGACCTCAGTTGGATTTGAGTTCTCTCTTAGTAGTAATAACTGGTTTAAGGTTGTTTATAAGAGCCAATTTTATTTTTTAAACTTGGATTTCTATTTATTTTACGTCCAGTGTATTCCCGGGCCATAAGTTTTTGTTTCTTTGGTTTCTTCTGTACAAGCTCCAGTTCAGGCTTAAGAACAATTCGTTCTTTCAGTCAGGATCATCTCAGTGTGGCCGGGAGAGCTCATGTTAAGGTGTTAATCCACCCAGGAGCCCCGTTAAGGCTTTTTGTTGTTTATTTTTGTTTTATTTTCTGGCAGTGTTCAGATCTAACTCCTGGCTCTATGCTCCAGAAAAACTCCTGGGAGGCTCGAGGGACCATTTGGGATGCCAGGGATTGAATTTGGGTCAGTTGCATGCAAGGCAAGGGCCCTACCTTGTTCTGGCTCACCCTGTAAGTTCTAAGGTATGTCTGGGTGCTTTGTTTACCAGGACATGCTCAGTGAATCCGCAGAGTCTACATCTAAACCCTTCAGTGCAGAATTACTCTCTGCATTTTTAAGCATGTGCAGTAAGAATTCAGCACTATCTTAGGGCCACTGTCCTTATGTCTAGCCCCACTGTTTGGCCTGGGCTTACCTACCAACATTGCCACAGTAATGCCGGAAGGGAACACAGTGCTTGTGCAGAGTAACATCCTTCACAACTCAGTGGCTTTTTGGATACGTGCCCTTGGTGGCCAGAACTGTTTCCCGAGTGTTCTTGAAGTGAACGTGAAGGTTCAAGCTTCTGGACTTCGTCAGTTTTTTGGGGGTTAGCAAATAGTGCACCATCTCAGGACTCCCTACGGCTGCTCAAGCAAGAGAAAGAGTGATCTAAAGGCCAACGTTGACCAAACTCTTCCCGATATGGTTCATAACCTACAGCAGCGGTCCGGTGAGGTCCCGTCCACACATAACTGGGAAGCTTCTAGGCACCAGCAATAGATTGCCACGGTCCCCCTTTCCCTCTCTGTCATAGCACCCAGCCACTCTCGTTTTGCCTCTGTGGGGGCAGAGCCTGTCTGCGGCCTTGGGCATTGTGCATGTTCAGTGGATCTTTGTCTGGAATGTCCCACAGCGGCCCACCTGAACCCGCTTTCCAAGGCTGAGCTTTGATTGTTTGGCATTTTGGGCCACAGCTGCTGGTGCTCAGGAATCACTCCTGGCAGGGCACGAGCCACCTACTCTGGGTTGAGTGCCTTACCCATTGTACTGTTTCTCTGACCCCTGCTTGTTTTCCTGGAACTTGAATTCAGCCATCTTGGCAGGCTATGTGGACAGTGTATGCCTGGGGTGATGTGGGGGGAAGTTCTGGGGATACCTTGTGACATTAGATGCTCAGTGAAGCTGCAGGGTGTCGCTGGGAGCCACCCTGGTGGTGTTCATGTGGGACTCTAAGCTTAGGGCTATCTCCCCAGCCTCTCACCATTTTGTTGTTTGGTGACCTGTTGCTTGAATCAGCTGCAGCCTCAGGAAAGTGGGGGGACACTGGCTGTGGGCCTAGAGGATCTGAGTGAGGGGTTGTCTATGGGTACAAGGGGGTCTGCAGAGTCGGAGATAAGGACCCTCCAGGATATAAACGAAGATGTGTCATCTGACTGTGCCTGCAGCCATTCAGGACATGCCTGTCCACCTGGGGGCGGGGGGGGGGGGCCTCTGGGGACTGGCAATGGGTGGGGGAGAAAACACCTCAGCGCCCCAGTATGGTTCTGGAGCCTCTGGAGGAGACAGTGCTGGGAGGACTGCACGGGTGCCACTCTGCCAGGTGCCGTGCCAGCTGGGGTTCCTCGGAGCCCTCTGAGTGTTCTCCCCATTGCACAGATGAGAAAGCTGGTTGGGAGCGATTAGAGGAGCAGCGGGGACTCCCTCTCTCCCGGTGCTGCCTAGTGTCCTGCGCACACCAACTCCCCTGATGGGAATGGGAACAGGTCTCGGGGGCCGCAGATGAGCTAATGCTGCCTGTTCTCTGCTTTAGGGAGCACCTGCCCCGGAGAGAGATCCCCGCCCGACGGTGAGTCCTGCGCCTTGAGTCCAGACCTGGGAGCACGTGTGTGTGTGTGTGTGTGTGTGCGTGGTGGAATTCATGAGGCTAAGTTCCGACTGGGGTAGTCTTAGTTTTGGGGGTTTGGTTCTCTCAGGAAGGTGACATCCTGGGGGAAAGCCTCATCAGGGGTCCCGGATTAGCTGCTGGGGAGGGTAGAGGGGGGTGCGGGACTACTTGGGTCACGGAGAGGCCCTGTGGTCAGCAGGGTGGACAGAGCAGGACGCTGGGCCCGGCATCTAGCTCTGTGGGCATTTGTGAGAACCCTGCTCGCCTTTCTAGACCAGCATGCAACTGGAATAGAAATGAGAGGGGCCAGGCCAAGCCCCTGTGTCCTCCCCCAGTGCTCAGGCAGCCCTGCCCGTGCCTCTCGCCCTCTCAGCCTGAGAATCCTGGGCCTGAGCCCTGGGCGGGGGTGGCCATGGCCCGCCACCTGCTCTGTCCCCATCTTGTGTTCTCCGGGGGCTCCCTAAATGCACTTCCCTGGTGCTGCTGGGGTGAGGCGGGGTGGGGATGGGGTGTGCGCCTGCGTGTACCAGGGGGTGTGGAGCAGGAGGGGAGCAGAGGGCCCTGTGTTAGCTTTCAGGGATTGACAACATGACCCAGCCTGTCCCCCATCTTGAGAACTTCTCCGAGTGTGTCCTCTTGTCCTCGGCCAGGCCTCCCCATGCTATTTCCCCCGCCCCCACGGAGGGGCCTGTTGACAGGTGTGGGGTGGAAGGGACCCCCCATTTTGGGGAGTCCCCCTCCACCCAGTTCCTCTGCTCACCTCATCTTGTTCTTTGTCCGCCGGCTAGAACCTTGTTTCTCTTCATTGCACAGAGGTGGGGAATTGAGGCGGAGCATAGGTGGGTCTGGCCCAGGGCAAGACTCGGTCCGTTTGTGTGAGAGTCGGCTCTGATTCCGGAAGGGAACGTTACTCAGCTTGCGGCCTCATTCTCCCAGGCCAGCTAATTAGTTCAGGGCCCTGCTGGGTCCCCAGAGCCATTAGTTACCGTTACCAGGACGAGGGTGGAGAGTGGGGGTGAAGGCTCTGCCCTGCGCTCCTCTTTGCCATCTCCTTGGTGATCCTGGGGGCGGGGGATGCCCGTAGCGCTCATTGGCTTTTGTGTCTCATGTTGGAAGGCACAGCCGATCCCCCACTGCCCCTGTCCCTCACCTCCTAACCTGTTTTCCTGCTGGCCAGCAAGCAAGGGCAGGGCCGGGCGAGCCGGGGCTCTCAGAGGCCGCCCTTGGTGGTGTGAGGAGTGGGGGCCAAACCCCACATGTGGCCGCTCCTCTCCTGCTCCACGCCCGCCCCTGGCAGAGGCCTCGGGAAATTCCGTGATCTCGCTGTGCTGAGTCATGCTTGTGTGGGTCACTTTTCGGGTGCCTGTCACCGGGTGCTCAGGGTGTGGAAAGGCCACGGTTCCTTGGAGGGAGGTAACACTGCGAGCACCTTCAGATATGTCTCTGGTGCTTTGATGAATGTGTTTGTTTAGCAGTGTGAAGTCTGTCATTTTTGGGCTTGGGAGCCACCCCTGCCAGTGCTCAGGGCGTACTCCTGCCTCTGCACTCAGGGGTCACTCCAGGTGAGGTTTGGGGGATCATATTTGATGCTGGGGATCAAACCTGGGTCGGCCATATGCAAGGTTCGCGCCTTACCCACTGTGCTATTGCTCTGGTCCCAGCTGTGTGAAATCTGTAGATGTGATGTCATTACAAAGCAGCCTGTTCATCTGTGGACTAGGAGACGGGTTTATAGGGAGTAACTGATTTTCTGAGGGCACCGTGTGAGTGGCAGGGATAGGGTATTGTTTTGTTTTTTTCAGTGCCTGGGGCTGCTCCTGCCTGAGGATGCTGTTTGGCCTTCAGTTCTGGGGGGTCACCAGAACCCTTCTAGTGTATTCAGGGCCCTCCAGTGCCACATCCAGCAATGCTCAGAGCTTGCTCCTGGCTCTGTGCTCAGGGATCCCTCCTGGGTCATGCTTGGGGAATCATGGGTGCCAGGGATTGAACCTGGATCTCCTGCATGCAAAGCTTTTGTATTCTCTCTGCCATCTCTGCAATTAAGCTATGTCTCTGGCCCCTGTTCTCCAAGAATTGTTTTTTTTTTTTTTTAACTTGGGTCTTATCTGGCAGTGCTCAGGTCTCATTTTGAACTCGTGCTAAGGGATGATTTAGTTTTTTTTTGGCCACACCTGGCAGTGCTCAGTGGTTACTCCTGGCTCTGCGTGCACTTAGAAATCACTTCTAGCAGTGCTCGGGGGACCATATAGCGTGCCAGGGATTGAACTGAGGTTGGCTGTCTGCAAGGCAAGTGCCCTACCAACTGGACTCTTTCTCCAGCCCCTCCCTCTTGGCAGTGCTCAGGGAATCAGTTGTGCTGGGAATTGAACCTGGGTGGGCTGCCTGCAAGGCAAGTGCCTTCCTCACTGGACTCTCTCTGGTGCCTCTGCAAGAGTTTTAGCTCCAGCCTCCTCTTTGGTTCCGTACCTTCTTTAGGTGGTGAAGGAGCCAGCCTCTTCTTATCTTCGGTTCTGTACCTGCTTTAGGTGGTGAAGGAACTTGTGCTAGGTCCTGTGTAAGAGACTATTAAATGGTGACAGTGATTTCCCTGGGTGGCAGAGTCCCCTTCGAAGAGAGGAGAGTGTGTGCCCCCCTATTGTGAGGGGGATGTGAAATGCAGGGGATATAGAGAAGTTTCACCTGAACTTAATGGGACCAGAGAGACAGGGCAGGGTTAAGGTGCTTGCACATGACGGACCCTGGTTTGTTCCCCAGCACCATATGACCTGGTCCTCTGGGCACAACTGGGAGTAACCCACACCCCTGACCCCATGCATACTAGATGTGGCCCTGGCACTGCCCCCAAAAAGAAAAAATGAAATAGCCTCCCTCCCCCTCCACCCCCCATTGTATAATGGGGCAAGCTGGCCAGCTTACTAGGCCATTGAGAGCGGCATTTCTATATCTGGAAATGGGGAAGCACAAAATAGACTTCGGAAGGGATTGCTACATATGTAACCTGTTCAGTGAGTCCGTGAAGCAACTTTGAAACAGAGTGCTCAAAGTTTCTCTAGACTTACCACCACAGCACAAGGACCACCATGCTTTTACACCAGAAAGACACAGTATCAAACAATTTGTAACATCTTTTCCACTTATTTTGGAATTACACCATCTTTTCATTTTTTTTTTTTGGTTTTCATTTTCTATCCTTTTTTTTTAAAATTTTTTATTAGTGAATCACCCTGAGGTACAGTTACAGACTTACAAACTTTTGTGCTTGCCTTTCAGTCATACAGTGGTGGAGTACCCATCCATCCACCAGTGCCCATTTTTCACCACCAGTGGTTCCAGTATCCCTTCCACCACCCCCACATTTTGTCTTTGAATTTAAAGAATAATATATATATATATATATATATATATATATATATATATATTGCTTTTTTGGGTCACACCCAACGATGCACACGGGTTACTCCTGGTTCATGCACTCAGGTATTACTCCTGGCAGTGCTTGGGGGACCATATATGCTGGGTATCGAACCTGGGGTGGCCACATGCAAGGCAAACGCCCTACCCGCTCTGCTATCACTCCAGTCCAAGAATAATCTTTTTAAATAGAGAAGGGTGCAGGGCCAGAGTGATAGTACAGCAGGTAAGGTGTTTACCTGTATGTGGACAACCTGAATTTGATTCTTGGCATCCCATGTGTTCTCTGAGTTCACTAGGAATGAATCCTGAGTGCAGAGCCAGAAGTAAGCCCTCAGCACAGCGAGGGCTTACTCAAACAAACAGTTTGTACCTCAAACAAACAAACAAACAAAAAACCCCAACATGGGCAATAGAGAAGAGTACAATTTGTAATACTGATTGTGGCTTAAGATCAGGGTATTTAGCGATCACAGTTCTTTAATACTTCTTTGAAAAATTGGGAGGAGGATGGAAACCTCTTTCTAAATGCTGTGTGAGAGCGAACTAAGGAGTGGTGGATAAAGGTGAGAGGGTTACGATAGTCTTAATGCTTATCATATTCATGTGAAAAGTCACTGTACCGCACCACCCCTAAAGTGCCCCTGACCCTGTATCAGCCCTGGTTTGACCTTCCTCCATCTCTCCGTGCTCCCCACCCTAATTTGTTGATTGACAGTTATGGGGATTTGTTTGTTTTGGGGGCATGCTTGGTGTTGCTCAGGGGTTACTCCTGGTTCTGTACTCAAGAATTAGTCATGGTGGGCTTGGGGGAATGCCAGGGATTGAACCTGGATCAGTTGCGTGGGTGGTAAGTGTCCTACCTGCTGTACTATCTCTCCAGCCCCAACAGTTTGTTTTTTGATACATACTATTACCCACCTCAGCCACCACCCAGGTGCTCCACACCCTCCACCTATGTTCCTGTTTACTTCTATCTGCCTCATCGTTCACTCCTGTAACTCCTCCTCCATAACTGGGCACTCTAAGGCCTGTAATCCAGTGTCTAGCGTTTATTATCAGTTAATATTTTCTGTAGCCTTGATTCATATCTCTGTGTACCACAATGAATGAGATCATTCTGTATTTGTCCTCCTGCTTCTGGCTCATTTTGCTCAGCATGAAACCCTCCAATTCCGTTCAGGTTGCTGCAAATTGCCTGGCTTTGTTTTTTCGTGGGGCCGCACAGTATTCCATTGTGCACATAAACCACAGCTTCTTGATCCATTCATCTGTTGTACATTTGGGTGGTTTCCATATCCTGGCTATTGTATGAAGAGCTGCAGTGAGTATAGGTGTGCTTAACTTTTTTTTAAATGTTTTTGAAGCACGATAAATTTTATTGAAAAAAATTTACTTAGACTGAGGGAAGAGGAAGATAGGGGGATACCTATTCAAGAGAGTACACAGGCTTCTTCAGAGTGGGAACAGCAGAGAGAGACAGGTATGTGTTCAGGAGAACATGAACTAGAGAGGAAGCCTCTTTTGGAGTTCAAGTTTTTGTGTTTTGG